ATTATTAATTATAAATTATTAATTATTAATAGTTATTAGTTATTAGTTATTAGTAGATATTATTATTTATAAATTATTATTATTGTTATTTATAATACACATTATTACTCCTATTGATCTTTTCGTCAACCCTTTATATTTTCTCTACCTTGTTTACTTCATTAACCCTAATAACCCTATATATAAACCTAATAACTCTAATAACTCTATTATCCCTAAGTTATATTTAATTATTAACTCTTTTCGCTCTATACACCCTATCAACCTTATGCATTTTATTAATAATATTTGTTCGTATTAACCTTCTTAACCCTACTATGATTATATTTATCTTATTATTTATCTTACTATTTATCCTATTATATTATTTACCTCATTATTTAAGCACGCATGCAGACTAAGCAGCAAATCAAGAAGTACTATAAACCCTAAACCCTAAACCCTAGGGGCACCTAAACCCTAAACCCTAGGCTTCCTAAACCCTAAATAAACCCTTGGGTTATTCAAGGGCAGTGCAAACCCAAATGCTAAAGGGTGCTGTAAACCCTTTAGGGGCATCGCAACCCTAAACCCTAAACCCTAAACCCTAAACCCTAAACCCTAAGACCAACCCCCTCCGGCGGGCGAGCAAAGATATGCCGAAGCCACAGGCATCTACACACCCTCATTTATAAACCCTAATCTATAAACTTTTATTCATAAACCCTCATCTATAAACCCTTATCTATAAACCCTTATCTATAAACCCTCATCTATAAACCCTTATTTACTATAAACCCTCATAAACCCTTATCTACAAACCCTCAAGTACAAACCCTCATCTATAAACACTCATCTGAACCCTCATCTGTAAACCCTTATCTAAACCCTCATGTATAAACCCTCATGTATAAACCCTCATGTATAAACCCTCATCTAAACCCTCATGTATAAAACCTCATCTGTAAACCCTCATCTAAACCCTCGTTAGGGTTTTTTCTCTTCATACTGCTCCTGTTGCTCGGAGGACAGGGACGTGCGGCAAGGGCTTCGAGCGGACACGTACAGCTAGCTACAGCTAGCTACAGCTAGCTGGGAGCAGCACAGCACGCTGGCCTCACTGATGTAAAGGAGACAGGCACAAGTGAAAGGAGACAGTGAAAGCAGCAAGGAGACAGTGGACAGAAAGAAGAGAGACAGTGAACAGACGAAAGGAGACAGTAAAAGACAAGACGAAGTTAAAAACAAAAACGAGGGGGGCCCAGAGAAGAAGAGAGAGGAAATATTCATGTGTATGAAGACCTGCTGCTGCTGCTGCTGCTGCTGCCGCTGCAGCCCTCAACAATAGCAGCGCAGCAGCTAGCAGTGAAGAGAACCGCCAGCTAGCTACATAGCTAGCTACAGCAGCAACTGCAGCAACCATATTCACCTTATGAGGAGGCGCAGTTGTGGAAGAGTCCTGCTGCTGCTGCTGCAGCAGCAGCAGCAGCAGCAGCAGCAGCAGCAGCAGCAGCATCAACAGAAGCAACAAGTGCTGCTGCTGCTGCTGCCTGAGTGAACAGATTGTGCTGCTGCAGAAGGCGATCGCCAGAAACCGCAGAAGGCGGCAGGGCCCTCCAATGTGAGGCCCTTGTGAAGCAGCAGCTGCAGCAGCAGCAGCAGCAGCAGCAGCAGCAGCAGTGAGAGCTGTAGTAGCTGCTGCAGCAGCAACAGCAACAGCGATGGCAGCGTGTGGGGTAGGGAGAAGAAGAAAGATATTGAGGTAGAAGAGAAAGATGAAGAGACAGCTGGCAGTAAAGAGATGAATTCGAAGCTAAACCCTAAACCCTAAACCCTAAACCCTAGGGACATGTTATATTTATTTATATACAGCAGCTCTTGTTATCTTAGCGTGTACAAAGGGGTTTAATTTGTTTTGTCTGTCTCTGTCTCTTGCTCTTTCTTGCTCCCTTTCTTCTTCTTTTTAATTACACCACATCCTGAACAAATCAACAAATTTTTTTGTCTCTTACGTGCAGCGAAGGTGGAGACCCAGCTAGCTACAGCTAGCTACAGCTAGCTGTAGCTAGCTACAGCTAGCTGAAGCTGTAGTTACTAGCTACAGCTAGCTGTAGCTATAGCTAGCTGCAGCTAGCTGTAACTAGCTGTAGCTAGCTATAGCTGGGTGTAGCTAGCTGTTGCTAGTCGTAGCTAGCTACAGCTAGCTATCACCACCTGTACGTAGCTGCAGCTAGCTACAGCTAGCTGCAGCTAGCTGTAGCTAGCTACAGCTAGC